CAATTAAATCAGGATTCGATCTCAATAACTTATTAGACACATTAAATCATGGATTAATGTTAATCATGGGTCGGGGTTGTTACACAACTACTACTCCTAAATGGTGAGTAGCTGTTCTCCTGACTCCAGCCATCGCACTCAGTTGGGCAGGGCTCTCTTCTCCGACCTTCCTCTCTACCATACTCTCTTTTTTTCTCTCATTCTCTCTGGCACCAGAACGTTGCCAATCTGTTTTTTCCCTTATCCTTCATTCGTCTCTTCCACCTACACTATCTCCGCAATTGGGGGCTCAGACCCTTCCTCAACCACCATTCCTGGCCTGGACCCAAGTTTTTCCACTCCACTCGCCACCGCCTCCGTTTCTCTAATCTTCTTCCGAGCGGCGCCTCTCTCTCCACCATCTGTCCCTATCTTTCTTTTCTTCCTTAACACCTTCTCCACTTCCACCTTACTCATCTCTTTCAATGGGTCCACTGGTGCCTTCAATGGAGCAAAGGTACTCAGGTTCTTGCCTGCCAACGACTTAGGCCTAGGACTTGCCACCCTTTCCATCACAGCCTTCGGCGCCGGTCCCAACTCCTTTTCTTTATACTTCTCTGCTGCCGCCAAGATCCTCTTATCCTCTGCCTTCTAACCCTTCCTTATCACCTCCACGTCTTTAGGCATTGGATCTTCTTTCGTAGGCTCAGGACCCAAGCCTAGAGCAAATAGAGCATAAGGCTTTACCAAGTCATCCCACTTCACATCTTCCTTCTCCCTCTACCGCATCACCTACTTTACTCTACCCCCAGTCACGGCATCTAACTTTAATTCTAGCAACTTGGTAGGGACTTTCCACATTGTCCGTATTCTCCTCCTCCCATTCTTCGATACAAAAAACCACTTCGTCCGCCACCATTTGATCGACGAAGGCAACCCCGTGACTAACCCCCTGCCTGCCACTACTTGTAGGGTTACGCACGTCTCCTGTTGACCGGATGCCTTGTAATAAGAGAACAACGTAAACTCCTGGGGCCTCACGTTCAACGTCCTCTTTGTCGCCAGCGGCACTCTCAACTCCACATCTGCAGGAATTTGATACTTAATCTGCAATCCTTCAAGATCCCCCACTGTTAGTGTCAACCTATCCGCCTTGGTGTGCCAATGGTCGGGGGCCATTTGGCTTAACAGTTGGACGGCCGATATCATTGTGGCTGAAATAGGCCGTGGCAGCCTTTTCTCCCTTCACTCTTCTACCATTTCTGTCATATACTTCTCTGCTACAGAAATCCCATCGTCTTCACCTAAAGTGTTCGGTGTCAAGGTAGAGGTCTCTCTTATGCCATCTCCCTTACGTTTTTGTAAATCGCCTCAGCCGTAGGAAGTAAGGAGTTTGAAATGTGAAATAAGGAAGAATCACACGAGATGAATGAAAAAAAGTCTGGGATCTGTTGATTTCTGGCAATTAGATACATAAATTGCATAAGCCCAAATGCCCAAGGTTTGTTAGTATTCCGCGGATCATGATTGAGCTTTGCCAGTTTGAAACCCAACAGCCAGAATAAAACCTCCACCTTTTTGAAATCCCCTGTTATAAAAAACTCTTCCATTCTCCATCAGTTGTACCATATCTTAATCAATGGTGCAGATTACTCCACGCACACACACGCGCTTTGCCGCCACCATTAATTATCTTTCCTTTCCCGTCTTTTCCACTTCACATCATCACGTGCTTTTCTGTCCCTCGAGCCCCGTGCTCATCTTGGCTCTATCATCGCTATCCTAATGGTCGACCACCTTTGTCGGTCAATTGTCCATTACGCCCGACCACCTTCTCAGTCGGCCAGCCGGACGGTCGACCACCTTTGTCGGTCGGTTGTCCACCCCGCCTGGCCACCTTTTTGGTCGGCCAGCCTAATGGTCGACCACTCTTCTCAATCGGTTGTCCATCACGTTTGGCCACCTTCTTGGTCGGCCAGCCAGACGGTCGACCACCTTTGTTGGGCGGTTGTCCACCGTGCCCGACCACCTTCTCGATCAGCCAGCCTGATGGTTGACCACATTCTCGGTCGTTTGTCGATCATGCTCGGCCACCTTCGCGGTCGACCTCCATTGTCGGTCGATTGTTCATTATGCTTGGCCACTCTCTTGGTTAGCTAGCCTGACGATCAACCACCTTTGGTGGTCGATCACTCACGATCACTCACTACACTCAGCCACCTTCGTGGTCGGCCGTCCCGACGATCGACCACCCTTGTCGTTTGGTCGTTCCTCACGCCTGGCCACTCTTGCACAAGATCCCACCCTACCTCCCTCCACCTCTTTCCCCGCTTTAGGGGACTACTTCTACCTTTCATATTCCCTTTGTTGGACTAAAGCTACACTTAGGAATGAGGGACTACTGATACTGATGGGCACCCAAGATGGGCCAAGCCCACGACTCAAGACCCATCTCATGGCCCGGTATTAAAGCCTAGTAACTTTGAGAGGACAATGCTAGGTTAGGACCAATAGCATTCAAACACTTGTCATGCAGGGAATTAGCCATGTAAGTAGACAAAGATCTTGCAAAGTTATTGCACCCACACATCAGCCATTTAATGAGGCTACTGTAGCATTAAATACAGTAAGACCCCTCACGTTAGAGTATGCAGAATCACCATAAACGATGTTAATTAGGCCATAGACTTTCGGCCAACAAGACAGCTTGGAAAAGATTAGGAAATGATAAGTAAAGGGTATAAGGAAGTTTTCGAGAGACGTAAAAGGTTAAGTTTTTTATCCCCTTCTTCTCTCTCTCAAAAACCATTGACTGTCTGCCTAATCTAACTTGATCGTCGAAGTGTCCGTCGAATGACTGCCTCCTCCTTTGGACCTTTTTGCAGGCACACATTGAGGATTTAATAACCAACAGACCCGTAGAAGACGCAGGCCAATCTGACCTAACCACTATTGATACCGCAACATCATCAGAAGGAATAAAGCAAGAGTACTCAAGTAGCTTGAAATTAAAATATTAGCTTAGAAAAATTCAATACATTATCTTATTTTTTTATATTCAATGGATTTTTTTAAAAAAATTTACACAAATTTTATATTTTTTAAATATATCTAAATTAAATTGATCTAATTTAGATATAATGGTGGAAATAAAAAAGAAAAGTTATATTCATATATTAAAATTAATATCATAAAAATGTTGTGATAATAATATTGTTGTAAATATATAAATAATGTTTATGGATGTTTTTGTTTTAAAATGAAAGGCCACCATTAAGCTATATCATAATATTTGAAAATTTTATATAAAATTTATGCTTGCATATCATCACTTAATAACAATATGTTCAGATAGAATTCAATGATGAAAAATTATAGAATGTAGTCATGATAATAGAAAGATGAAATGGTAGGAAAAATGACAAGATAGTCACTTAGAAATTTTAGGGTATGACATAAGCAATGTAGGAGGCAATTTGTAATGAGATTATAAACTTCAATGAGGGGAATGTAATTTTTTAAATGTAAGGGGAGGGGGGATATGTATTAAATAGAAACCTCAATGGGTGTTAGTGTAATTTACCCAAGGGCATTTTAGTCAAATTACTATCTTCGTTAACAGCGTTAATTGCGATGGGATGAAATGTAATTTTCAAAACCTCAAAGATAATCTATAATTTAGCTAAATCTCAAGAGGGTGTTGATTTGCCCAATTTTATACATTCTTTAAAAAAAAGTACATACTATAAAAATTTATGAGAGATGGCTTTTCTCTAATCAAATTTTAGAATGGAGCATGTTGTTAGGTATTTATGAGTCTACCACGGAGTTTATATTGATGATCAAAACTATTCAATACGTATGGCTCATTGAGTACTTAATCACTAAAAAAAATTACATTGATTGAATATCAATAATCACTTAATCAGATCAAATTTGTGTTATGGTAAGTATGATTTTAAAAATAAATTATTGATACAACTGTAATTTGATCAAATGATTATTGATATCAGATCAAAATTATTCTTTTACATGAATGAAATATTCAACGAATTCTACATATTAATTTTTTTTTATCATCGAAACAGATCCAAAATGAATCGGTTTAGACCATCCAGTTGAAATATTAAATGGAGAGGTGACCCCTAGCACCCCCACCTCCACATGGGGGCAACAAGTGGAAAAGAAAGAAAGAAAAAAAAATGGAAAATGCTAGAGAGCTCTAAATCTAGAGCTCTAATTTGAACTTTAGTGATGTGTCAAAGCAAAAAAAAAAAAAAAAAAAAAACAAAATAAGGTACAAACATCACATCAGGATGGGTCCCACCTTCCCATTAGAGCTATTAGAGCTCTTATATTAGAGCTCTAAAGTATTTTTGAAAAAAAATTATGAACCAACAAAAAAAACAGTGGAGTGGTAGGGGTCACCTCCATTGGATCTGGGGCATTTTCCAGTCCCAAATTTATAAACATTTTAAATTTGTTAATTAATATCTTAAAATACTCGTTAGGCTATTTTTTTTTTTTTTCACTTTTTTTTTAACTATGTATAACTGAAAGTTAATAATAAAAAAACACAGAAAGATAAAAGTATATCACTTTTAACTTTTAAATAATAAAAATAAATTAATTTATTTACATTATTTATGCTTGATAAATGTTAAGTAAAAATTGCACTAACATTATTTTATGCCTGATAAATGTTAAGTAAAAATTGAACTAACTTGACACGATTTTTTTTTTTTTAAAAAACTAAATGCATATTAACATGTCTCTTAAAAAACGAGAGAGAAAAATTACAAATTAAGCGTAATTTTCAAAAAAAATAATTAGATACACACAAAAAAAATTTACGACTTTAATAATTAAAGTTCATAAATTAAAAAAAAAAAATCAATCGGTTATTTCTCAAAAAAAAAAAAAAAAAAAAAACCTCTACATGTGGTCCCTTCCAAGAGACTTTTTTTTTAGTGTAAATATAATTTAACTAAAAAGAACAGAATTTATGAAACAATGGACAGTGATGCTTGAATTCTCTACAATTTTCGTTAATCAAATCATCAATAAATCACATAATTTACAAAAAAAATAAAATAAAAAAGTGACCTATTAAATCACTTATCTTTCATTCTCTCTTTCTTTTGTTCCTCAGCTGCACATTTCATTAGTGGTGTCCCTCTCTCAAATGTGACTCCAATACGATTCGAACCCATGACGACTCAGGGGCTAACTCGGCCCACACTGCCATCTCCACTTCATTCTCCTGAGTTACCCGAACCAGCAACTCAGTACTCAGTAACTCACCCCCCAATAAATTACATTTAATATTTTATTTTATTTAAAAAAAAGAAAAAAAAAATCAAAACCCACCAACTCACTCACCTTTATCAATCGGTTAAAAAAAAATCCCTCATGAATTAGTAACTCGGCCGAGTCAAGCAATATGAACTCGCTCTGTTTCTTCACTGTGCAGGCGAGTCAATCCGGGTTAAATCAAGTACGGCCGAGCTTTCAGTTACCAGATGAACTTATCGGTGGTGAACCCATGAAGGAGCGGTCGAGATTCGGGCAAGAAGTCCAGGTGGCAGCATCTCTGGAAGTCGTCGAGATTCAAGAACCGGGCCGAATTGGTAGACTCGGATCGGGTCATGAACCGGAGTATTTCTTCGAAGAGCGACTCGTCGCAGGGAATGGCGAGTGGACCGGTATTGGTGAATCCGTACTCTTCCTCGGCTTGGACCAAGAGTTGCTTGAAGACGGGGTGGTTCAGGTACGTCGCGCGCACAACGAATCTTCTACAATTGGTGCCTACGCAGACCGGCATGTGTCCGGCGGGGACGTCGGACGGGATGCGGCGGGAGGACACCGCGGCCTTCTTGCGCCACCGCCGGAGCATCTGGCGGAGTCTCACTATGTGTTGGATTTTGCCGCAGGGTGACATTTTCTCGAGAAAATGACGGGTAGTTGGACGGTCAGAAAGTGAGTTTTTTTTTTTTTTTTTTGGGGTTTGGATTTGTTAGGGACTCTGTTTGTTTTGGTTTTGGGAAAAATAAAAAAAGAGTTGATGGGAGGAGTTTGGGATGGTGCGATAGTAGCAAGTTTTATAAGAGTGGAAACAATTGAGTGCCCCTGGTTTTTAAGATAATTACAATATCAGCCAAGCTTCTTTAATTAAAAAATAAATAAATAAAATTTAAACTTTAAGGCATAGTTGAAAAGAATAATACTCTATCTATTAATTAGTGTATTAATTAATGATATAATATAATTTAAGATATTTTTAATATTTATAATTTATATAATGAGTGAGATTAATAATAATGTCACAATTAGTGTTGGTACACTAATTAGTATACTAATTGATGCATATAGCACCATCGACTTAGAAAACATTCGATTTCAACCTAAATTTGAGAGAAATAGATTTTATGAAAACAAGTATCATGAAAAATTTCATGAAATAATTTAGTATAATAGATAATAATAAAAAATAAATAAATTATAAATACATCTTCTGAGATTTATTTAAATTATAAATTATCCCATCTGGTTCTAGAAATTACATTATACCCTCTAAGATTTCTAATTTTATAACAAATAAGTCATTTTATTAATAAAACATTAAGTTAATTAACAATTTTTAATAATGTTAAAATTTTATTTCAATTAATTCTGTTAAATAAAAAATTCTGTTAGGGAGGTATTTATAATTTTTCAAACCACATGAAATAATTCGTATTTTAAGCAAATCTCAGGAGATGTATTTGTCATTTATCCTAAAAAAAATGATTTACCTTTATGTAAGAATGTTTTAATTTTGAAATTTTAATTTACAAATATGATTGATAAATTGTAACTTAAATGTACGTGATTGGATAATATATAATAAAATACTTCAAATTAATCTAATGGTGAAGTATTTTCAGGAATTTTTTTTATAAAACGTATCATTACTCAAAAGTTAAAAGGGGAAATAACAGCACGGTGGTAGTAAAATTTTTTTTATATATATTTATTTACAAAATTTTGAAAAAAAAATATAGTATTTTAATTATTAAAATGTATAAATTTGAACACCAATTTGTAATTTTTTTTCTATCACCACCGTGTGCTGTTATTTCCCCAAAGTTAAAAAGCTAATAAATTGTACAAAAAAAGTCAATGGTTTTTTTCCTCTGTACTTTTTGTGTTTTTTTTTTTCATAAAAAAATAAAAATTTATTTCAAACATATTAATTTTTTATCCCATATTTTAACAAAAAATTCAAAAATTTATTAAACTAACATGTTCCCAAACAAATTTGAATTAAAGTTTACCCTCTATTTTTGTTCATTGGGCTGGTGTGGTGGCATCAATGACTGCTAGGGATAGGAAAGCATCCATCCAATCTGTCGAAATTGAATGACTTGAACCAATTTGTTAAGTAGATAGTTCTATTGGTTTGAATTTTTCTCAATCTGTCTAAATTTGGACAAATAGGGAATGAGAGGCCACCTGACTTGACCCGACCTGGTTCACCGATACTCTTAAGAAAATAATGTTATATTTGTATGTTTTTGTGTTAAAAAAAATTATTTAGTAATTATATTTGCTATTTATGAAATATGAAAATTAAACTTTTATTTTTATTATAAAAAATAAAGAATAAAAAAATTTAGGAAAAAATAGTAAAAAAGTATTAAAAATAGTTTTAAAAAATGCCCAAAATAATAAAGATCAAACCGCTAAACTGATTTGCATATATCTGTTAACCAGCATGGCCTACTCAATTTGCATCTGCTAACTAAGCAAACAAATGACGGATGAGAGGCAATCTGATTTAACCCGATCCACGAGCACCTCTAGGAATGACAATGACCATAACAATGTGACGATGGTGGAGTTGATAACGACAGTAATAGTGTCGTGACATGACATTGATAAAAATTTGACTTAAAATAATTTTTATACTTTTCAAAAATGAAAATATTTTTTTTATATAAATTTATTTTGTGTTTAATTTTAATTTTTTTTATGGCACCAAATATTAGAAAATTTCCACCAAAAAAAAAAAAAAAAATTATTGTTAAAACAAACCAAGCGCTAAAGAAAAATACTATTTGTCACTGTATGAGTGATTCACCTATCAAATGGATTACTTGTCGACTAATCAGTTCCAGATTTTTTTTAATACTCATGGAAGTCTCATTTTGTGGTGAATTACGTTTCTACCCATTGTGGGTGCTATTTTTGCTACAGACCCCATGGGGGTCGACCCCCGGCGAGGTGGCAGCGTGCCATTCGTTCAAATCACCAAAAAAAAAAAAAAAAACAAATTTTTTTTTAACCAATGAAAAGCTTCCGTACATGACCTCCAATGACCCCTACCGGGGTCTGAGGCATTTTTGTAATGTTAATTTATGCAATTTTCATGTTCTCCGATTACGTCACGTTTGGAAAAAGTGTATTATAGCATTTTTTTTGGTTTGGTACACTAGTTTGGGCCACCACGTTTGAATCTGACCCGAGCGTATCCAACTTCACAAAAAACTAGGAAAAACAATCCACACCTTGTATTTTTTCCGTCAACTAGCTTGGGTTTCATTAGACAATCCTCCCATCTCGATTGATTTTCCACACTCGATTTGGCCACCAACACACCTTCAATTGGCGATTATTTGTCTGAATCTTCTTCCAAATGTGACAACCCCATCTTCAAGATTCCCTATACTTGTTAATCATATTGTTTAATTTTAATAATGTCTAAAATATTATTTGTCAAAATTTAAATTTTTTAATAGACATATTATTTGACACAAAACAATATCTGTTTAAAATTTTTATGGTACATTTGTTAAATATTATTTAAATGAAAATATTTTGAAAATTTTACTATTCACTTTTTGAAAAAAAAAGAGAAAAAAAATAGGCTGATCACTATTCATCTTTTGACAAATTAATTGGTTGTATTATTTTGACAAATTTGGTATTGATGGGTTGTCTTCTTTTGACAAAATTGATATGGAGTGGAATGCTATATTTAATTTAAAATCTCTACAACATATACAGAAAAAGAATATATATGATCAGATCTATTATAAATATTACTTGAAGGGATTTTACTATATATGCAAATATTTGATTAGAATATTATATAGAATGCATAAAAACTGATCAGATCTATCGTATTAAATTGTCTATAAAAATAGTGGCTCCATGTTTGAAAAAACAAAAAAGAAAAAGAAAAAATTATTCTTACTTTTATCTTTTTAATTATTAACATTTGCTGACTATTTAAAATTAATGAGTGTGCTTATGTAAGTCATGACGTCAGCAAGGTTGCTGATTAGTTAAAATCAAGGAGCGTGCTTATGTAAGCCATGACGTCAGCAAAGAGCGTCCTACTTCCAACGGGTATATTTTTGTGTATAAACAGAACTGTTGTGTGTGGAAAAAAATCAAGAACTTGAAGAGAAAAATTTCTGTGTGCTCCAAAATTCTGAGTATATTGTATTCTGCTCTTTAACTTTTAAATCTAAGTGTAGTCATTGTTCTTACACTTTCATATCTACTCTTTGCGGGAGAATTATTGTAAAAGAGGGTTTAAGTACCACTTATTTTTTATTCATTATTTTTTTTTTGAGAGATTTTGTAAGGGTAAGACATTTATTGTTGAGTAAGACCCAATAGATAAGAGTAAGTCCTGTGTCAAATCCACAAGCTTGATGGTGTATTTATTTAATTGACAGTAAAGAAATTCTCAAGGAGGTTCCTTGGGGAGTGGACGTAGACCTGGCGTGCCGAACTACTATAAATCTCAGTGTTTGATTTTCTCTCCCTATCTTTCTTACTTTTATATTGATAATTATTATTCTGTTTTTTTTATTTGTTAAAATTCTGAATATTGTGCTAATTTTAATATTGTAAAATTTTTAATAACCCAATTCACCCCCCTCTTGGGTTGCCTATCTGGTATAACAATGTTATTTCCAAAACCCTCCCTGTTGAGTTGTGATGAAATTATTGATTTAGATATGTAGAATGTGTTTTGGAAGAAGAAGAGATTTTACCCTAAATGTCTCGAATATTTGGATTGGTATTGATAATGATGGTGGAGTTAAATATGTATTATCACTCACCTCTTGAGATTTGAAAAGTTTACCTTTATGAAATATAAATTATTTGTTGAGAAATATCTATTTTGGGCTATCGGTTGAGGATAGTTATGATTATTGTAGAAATTGCATATGAATTAGGAGAATTGAAGGCTGTGTGTGGAACGATTTCCAAACTATGATTCTACCCCCACATTCCAATATGATGCTTGGATAGGATGTTCAAACTATGATTCTACCCCATTTAGAAAACTCTGTGTGATGCGTGATTTTCAATTTTTTTTTTTTTTAAAATTTGGCCTAACCGGTCGTCCGGCCGGTTGACTAGAACAGCGCAAAAATTTTTTTTTGACATATGTTAATTTTTATACATTCAAAAAAAATATTTTTCGAATTTTTAAAATTTTTTTATGTGTTTTTATAGAATTTTGAGTTGTATGTTTGGTTATGAGTTGAAGTTTTTGTATCAAATATCATATGTCACATCAAAAATTTTCCACTCAATTCAAAACTGTTTTCAAAACTCTTTTACCAAACAATTTTTCCATACTCAAATCATAATTTCAAAACTTACAAACTCAAAATACAACTCATACTCTCAAATCATATTTAGAAAGCTCTTCCAAAAGCAACCTAAACTTTTCTCATTCATTTGCATTGAGTATTATCTTACACTTATACATTGAAAATATTTATCGTTTTGAGAAAAAGAATGAATTTGGAAAAAAACATGAATTGTAATGATTAAACTAAGTTGGCATGAGTGTTTAGGGTGAAAGTCTCAAAAACCGCGCCTATACATGGGTGCCGATTCCGCAGACGAAATTTCCTTCAAATGGCAATAGTAGTGCTTGTATAGCCTACGTTTA